ATAGGTAGGGCCAAAGCCATGGCCACAAGCAAAGCCAACCAAGGAATTCAATCCCTCTTTCCCATGGTAGGCAGGTGTTCAGCCATCTCCAGGACAGATGGGCTTCGTCACGCCTAACGGTGACTTGGGAAGACCAATGTCATCACTCCAGACATCCCCCTTTCCTTCTTCTTCCCCCAGCTTTCTGTTGTTGACCATGATGTCTTATGGTCTGGAATATCCCTGTGTTCCGTTGGGCTCGGCTGTCCTGGCTCCATCCCCTCCCAGCTTCTTGTGCACCCCTAGGCTGCTCACTGGGAGGGTCGTGTGAGGGGCAGAAAAGGCCTTGACGCTGTTTAAGGGCTGCTCAGCAGTCACTAAAACATCCCTGTATTATCAGCACTGTTTCCAGCACAAATCTAAAACACAGCCCCGTAACAGTGAATATGGAGAAAATTAACTCTAACCCAGCCAAAACCAGCTCAGAAATAATAGTAATAGTAATCATCATCATCATGATCATCATCATAATTGTAATGAGAAGTAATATAACAAAATGAGAGAGAAATAATCAAGAGGGTGTAGGTGCAGGGTCCACTGTCGTCTGGGCTGTGGTTAAAGGAAGGCTGAGGGCAGCAATGGAGCAAGGGGGCCAGGAGGACCAGGACCCCATTGCCTGTGAGGGGCTCACAGCCACTCCTGGGTTCCCCCTCCTGCATTGGTGATGTCATGGTATCAGGGAGAAGCACCTTCCACTGCTTCAGGCTTAATGTGGGTGATAGCTTGGTGCCCACCAAATATTCATCCATACACATGGAGTGGAACATGAGTCCTGGCACCATCTACAATGAGCTTCACCTGGAAGGGAAGCTCTGTGATGTGGTCATCAGTGTGGACAGTGTTGAATTCAATGCTCACAAGATGGTCTGTGGCTGCAGTCCCTACTTCAGGTCAGTGCTTGAAACTAGAGGGGATGGGGACAAACCATATTTCCTAGCCTGGGTCACACTGTTTGAGTGTATCTCCAGTGCTTCCATCAGCACTGACACACTCATCCAGCAGTTCCCCATAGTTCTGGTACCTCCCTGGATACCAGAATTAATCCACAACCTCACGTCTAACTGCAGCTCTGGAAGTGGGTGTCTGGTGAACGCCCGGAGGCAGGGCATAGCTGGGATGTGACCAGCCTGGCATACCCATCATCAGGTGGGAGGTTTTCCTTCCCCACACCCCATTGTTCTCCGGTATTCTTGTCAAAGCAAGGTGGCCACTTGCCCTGTTACTCTCTAGCCACAGCTGGAGGCTGTGACTCCTTTTTAAAGCAACCAACTAGCGAAATATGAATTGGTAATCTGCATGGCCTCCCAGTGTGACTGCTGCTAGTGCCCAAACTGGTCCCTGGGGAAGAAGGCACAGGGGAGAAGGAGGTCAGAGGCAAATGCAGCAAAGCTGTTTTTCCCCCAGCATTGCTTTGGGCTTTTTCAGGGTTTTGTTTGCCGGCAGCTGGAGCGAGGCAGGGAAGAGAGTGTATAAAATCCCTGGCACTTCATCTGAAATGATGAGGCTCATTATCAAGTATGCCTACAGTGGGACAGTGCCGCTCACGACTGACAGTGTTGAAAATCTCATCACCGCAGACCAGTTCATTGCCCTGGGCATTGTTGGGCTGTGCTGTGAGTTCTTAAAGTCCCATCTAAGCGTCAAGAATTGTATTGGCATCTGGAGACTCACAGACTGGTACAACTGTCCCGACATGCGAGAAGCAGCCTCGGCGTTCATCCTCCAGCATTTCGAGGAGGTGACCAAGGTATCTGCAGAGTTCCTAGAGCTCTCTGTCAGTGAGCTAAAGCACCTCATTGAGAGGGATGAGCTCAATGTGAGACAAGAAGACGCTGTGTTCGAGGCCATTCTGCAGTGGATTGGCCACGACCCGCAGAACAGGAGGCGATATGTCACTCGTGGCTTAAACGCAGACATCGACTGAACGTGGCCTAGCTGATCGCTCACTCCTCCCTGCCTCTGGGGGACAGGGGGGCAGAATTAAAAGAGAAGTAAAGCATGTCGAAATAAGAAGAGTTTAAGAACGAAAATAATTAGATATCTATTAACTTGAATAAATAAATTATAGAAGTTATGCTCAAAAAAGTCAAAGCTGAAGGAGAATTTTCCTGTTGCAAGGCAACACTGCACTTTGTGCCTGTGGCTTCCATGGCAGTGAGCAGATTTCTAAGAGGTCTTTCTAGTTCTTTTATCCAAAGTCTCAGAATTGAGGTTCTCCATCCAGAATCATGGGAGTTTCCTCACAGGGGTGGAGGGTCAGATCTACACATGTGGCAGGGGCTGCATTAACCCCCCCATCTCCCACTGCATCAATGACCGCGGGTAGAGATGCTGTGAAAGAAACATCAAACCTTTAACAAGTTGAGAGAGAGATGGGAGAGGTCTGGGGCTGGAGTGGGTGGGTGTGGGTCACATGTTCTGGGGCTCTGTGCTCCACACCTTCTGTATCAAGCTACCAACAGTGGCTGCAGGGGCGTGAGGCACTTTGCTCTCTGGCCCTCTCAAGGTCCTGGTTCATTTGGTGGGCACAAGGTATGAGAATCCCTACACTTGCTGCGGCCCTTTGCAGCACTCTCTCCATCCAGCTTCCCCCCCTACGGGGCTTTAGAGTGTTTTACCACGTGGCACACCACCAACTTCTTCCTCTTC